AAGTGGAGTCATGCTTGCCGCGCACTTCCAGGGAGAGGTCAGTTTCTTTCTTTCTTTCTTTTTTTAAAGACGGGGTTTCACCATGTTGGTCAGGCTGGTCTTGAACTCCCGACCTTAGGTGATTCGCCCGCCTTGGCCTCCAAAGTGCTTGGATTACAGGCGTGAGCCACCGCGCCGGGCCAGGGAGAGGTCAGTTTCTAACCAGTCCCGCCCAGGGGTGGGCTCTCACATCCAGTGCAGCCTGGGGAAACTGAGGCAGACATGTCAGATGGGAACCTGTAGAGTTGATCTGCCCCCAGCAGTGGGCAGGCAACTTGGGCTGCAGAACTCCGCTTCAACCCTCAAAGCCCCGTGCCAAATGCCCTGCCCTGAGAAACGTTCCCTGCTTGCCACTGAGAAGATGCCGGAAGCACCACTCCCCACGCCCCGGCCCTCACAGGTTTCCGTAACAGGCCACGGTCTTTTTGTTCATTCCCTTCTTATTTAGTGACCGTCTCTTCCACTCAGCTCTGGGGGGCTGGCTTGCTGCTCCGTCTCCAGGCTTGCACACAGTAGGCACCTGCCCAGACAAGGACACTTGCTCACATTCCCCTCCTCCAGTGCTCCAGAACCTTCCATAGCGCCCCGCTGTCTACCTGTCCCCAAGCTTGCCTGTGTCCTCTAAGCCTTGGTTTGGGGGGGCCTTCTGGGGCCCTGGCATCCCGCAGGCGCCTGATAGACGGGGACCGGCCGCATCCATCCAGCAGTGGACCTCCTCCCTGCCGGGGCAGTCCTCATCCCGTCCTCCCGCGGGTGTCCGGCGTCTCCCCAGATCCCCAAGGGCAGCAGAGCAGCCGCTGTGCTGGGAACATTCAGCTCTGATGAATGGATCCACACTCCAGTGATTTTTCTTCACACACACACAGCAAACCCCATCTCCTTTTGGAGGCAACGCTGAGGAAGGAGGAAAAGATCCTCCATGCTGTGAAGAAAATGCCAAGTGCCAGCTGGGACAACGGATTGGATTTTGAGACGACTGGGGAGGGAGGGCTGGGGGCTCAGTTCCAGGAACCCGCAGGCCACCCCCTCCAGCCACCTGATCAGGTGTCCTGGAAGCAGGACAAGGGGTCCTCTCCCTAGATCTTCGGGAGGTGCTGGGTCCTGGCGTCCTCAGGGACCACTGGGGCCCCGTCCCTCCCTCGGGTCCGTTCCCTTTAAGGAGCAAGAATTCTTAGGATCAGAGACAGTGTCCACCCTCCTGGAACTCATCTTCGTACCCTGCCTCAGTTTCCCCATCTGTAAAAGGGTGACAGTGGACATTCCTACTTCCCGCTGCCATGTGAACAAGTGGACGCATGGAGGGTGTTTTTTAAACATTTTTTATGACTGGGCAAGGTGCCTCACACCTGTAACCCCAGCACTTTGGGAGGCCGAGGTGGGTGGATCATGAGGTCAGGAGCTCGAGACCAGCCTGGCCAACATGGTGAAACCCCGTCTCTACTAAAAACACAAAAATTAGCCAGGCGTGGTGGCGTGTGTCTGTAATCCCAGCTACTCGGGAGGCTGAGGCAGGAGAATCGCTTCAACCCGGAAGGTGGGGGTTTCAGTGAGCCGAGATCACGCCACTGCACTCCAGCCTGGGCAACAAGAGAAAAAAAAAAAAAAAAAAAGCGGCAAATTTCATGTTATGACTATTTTACCACAATATAAAAAAAATTTTTTTGAGACGAGTTTCAGTCTCGTTGCCCACGCTGGAGTGCGGTGGCGCCATCTCACTCACGAAACCTCCGCCTCCCGGGTTCAAGCGATTCTCCTGCCTCAGCCTCCCGGGTAGCAGGGTTACAGGCATGCGCCCCCATGCCCGGCCGATTTGTATCTTCAGTGGAGACGGGGTTTCTCCATGTTGAAATTTGCCGTCTCAGCCATTTCTAGGTGCACAGCTCAGCGGCATGAAGCTCACTTAATGCTGTGCAGCCCTCACCACGGTCCTCTCTAGAACTTTCTCATCTTCCCAAACTGAAACTCTGTCCCCAAGGAACACTCCCTTCCCGTCCTCTACCCAGCCCTGACGCCTCCCATCCGACCTTCCGTCCCTGTGAATCTGGTGACTCTGGGGACCTCCTACTAGTGGAATCAGACAGGACTTGTCCTTTTATGTCTGGTGTCTCTCACGGAGCGTGACGTCCTCAAGGTGCATCCAGGCTGTGGCCTGTGTCCAAGCCTTTTTTTTTTTTAACTGCATCTCATGCCTCGACTTCCCAAGTAGCCGGGACCACGGGCACACACCACAGCTAACTAAAATTCGTAGCTTTTGTAAAGACTGGGTCTGGCAGAGATGTTGCCCAGGCTGGTCTCAAACTCCTGTGCTCAAGCGATTATCCTGCCTCAGCTTCCCACAGAACTGGGATTACTGGGTCAGGCACTGCACAGGCCTTCCGCTTCCTTTTCAAGGCTGAATAATATTCCACTGTGCAGAGGACCATGTTGTCCTGGCCCATCCATCTATTGATGGACACCTGGCTACCTCCCCCTTTTTTTTTATTACCCCTTTTTTTGGCTGTGGGGATGGAGCTGCTGTGAGCTCCGTGTGTGGATCGCTTCAAGATCCTGCTCTTCACTGTCTTGGGCATGCACCCAGAAGTGTAGACTCGCTGGGTCCAACCTTAATGCAATTTTTTTTTTTTTTTTTTTTGGCTGTCTCAAAATGCCCGGCCTGAGACCAGACTGGCCAGCATGGCGAAACCCCATCTCTACTAAACATACAAAACTTAGCCGAGTGTGGTGGCAGGTGCCTATAATCCCAGCTACCTGGGAGGCTAAGGCAGGAGAATCGCTTGAACCTAGGGGGATGGAGGTTGCAGTGAGCTGAGATCACACCACGGCACACTCCAGCCTGGGAGAGAGAGTGAGACACCGTCTCAAAAAAAAAAAAAAAAAAAAAAAAAAAAGAACCTGCCAGGCTATTTGGCTATTTTCACAGTGGATGCCCCATTTCACGTCCGCACCAGGGCTCGGGAGGGCTGTAGCTTCTCTGCCTCCTCGCCCACGATGTTTTCTGCTCCCCGGGTTTGCTAGCAGATGCCCCCACCACGCACAGGGGCCCCCTGCTGTGGTCTGGAGTCGAGTCCCACCGCCTCCAGGTCACCTGTGCACACCAGCGTCCCCTCTCGTCACCCACGCCTCTGAATCTGTGGGGCCTCCCAGGGGGACAGAGCGACGATCTCCACTGCCTCCCTTGCACCAGCCCGTCAATTCCAACACAGGAAGGAACCGAGGCCCATGTGCTTAAAGGCCCCGGTGTGATGAGGGCGCGGGAGACAGGGTCAAGAGGCACCCAGGGGACTGGTGTCCGAGGACCCGCTGTGCAGGGTACATGGTGGGAGACGCCAGGCCTGAGGTGTGAGCTCCTGCCTCCCCCCACCCCCACCTCCCGGAGGCTCCTGGCAGGCCCACCGGGAACGCCCCCTTTCTACAGACAAGAACTTCGAGTCCGAGCCAGGTGCCGGCTGTCTGAGGCCACCGGGCAATTTTAGGTCCCGAGGTGGGTGGGGCAGCCGGGCCCTGCCCTGTGGTGCTCTCATCTGCCCGCTGTCTGCAGCCCACAGAGGGGGTAGCTGGCCTCAACCCCAATGTCCCTGTGGATGCAGGCAGATGTGCAGTGGCCTGTATGTTAATGCCCAGCTTGATTTGGGTTCTCTGAGCGGCTGTGGCCGCGGCAGCCATACTTCTATGGCTGCGCACACACCCTCACCCCAGCCCTGGCACCAGCCACAAGGTTGTAGAGACACCCTGGTTATTCTCAGGACCCCCAGCGACCACCTCAAGTTGGTGGCTGGGGGTCCTGAGTGGTGCTGGGTGGGGGCAGGGGCCATGGGAAAGGCCCCAGGGGAACAGTACAATCCCAGAGAGATCAGCCAACCCTCAGCTGCCTCACCCCAAACCTGTGCGCTCCCTGCAGGCAGGACCACGCCTTGCAGGGCGGGCGCCCAGGAGGCACAGGACCCTTGAGGGGCTCTCAGGGCTCTGAGCAGCCGGGTGGATGCTGGTGCCGGCTGACCGCCCAGCCTCCCTGACGCAGCGTGTCCAGGCCGCCAGCCGAGAGGGCTCAGAGCCCTGTAGAGGGGACAAGGACACAAATTAGCCTAAAAGCATGAACTCAGCGTTGGCGGCCGGCTCAAAGCTGAAGTCATTACTATGCCCGCTAAATCACACGGATTTTCTGGATCGTTAGGCAGGACTGGCAGTTGGGGGCAGCTTTCTGGAAGATTCAGGCTGTCTGTGCTGAGCTCCGGGTGCTGGCACTCAGTGTCCCCAGGGTGGCGGGGCCCAGCCCCCCTCAAGCCCTTGATACCCGCAAGCACAGCCCATGGTGTGTTTGTGTGGGGGGGGCAACTCCCTCTCCAGACCTGCTCAGAAGGGGACACCACCCCCAGACCTGCCCCCGACCCACTGGAGGGTCCCAACCTGCAGTGGCCACATTTGCTGGATGGACAAGGTACCCCAGACTGAGGAGGCCAGGGCACCTTTTGCTCAGAAAACCGCCCTGGGGTGTGGTTTGGGCAGCTCCGGCCGGGCCCTGGGGAAGCCAGCAGAGGCCTCAAGGCACGGGAGGGACACCCTGGGCGGAGCCAGTGCTCCGAGGCCCTGCCCACACCAGCTCCCTCCTCCTGCCGTCCCGAGCGCCGGGTTCCCACCAGGACCAGGGACCCTGAAAGCCTCCCGGAGAGCTGGGCGCTGTACTCCAGGAAACCCCTCAACCCTGGCAGTCGGATCCACCCCTAACATCCCCAGGCCCGTCCGTCCACACCAGCCACCTCCCTCCAAGCAAAGGCCCTGGGGTGACGGACCAGTCTGAGACCCGCAGCTGCTCTGGACCCATCTTAAAGCCGCGCCTCCGATGCCCAGCTTGGCCGAGGCCTCCGCCCCCCACCGAGGGTGCCGAGTGGACCTGGGGTCTGGGCTGGGCCCAGGGTAGAGCGGAGCTGTGCCCAGCACCCAGGCACACTCGGACACGAGGAGGCTGGAAAGCAGCTTTTCATTATCTTTTGTGAAAAACAGACTAACACCAACGTGACGTGTCCCGCAAGACGCCAAAACGGCCCAGTGATGGGGACGCAGAACCGGGGAGAGTCCGGGCCGCGTGGGGTGGGGTCTCCAGGCTTCACTTGGCCGGCCGCGTGATGAAGCGCGTGGAGAAGTCGAACAGGTCCCGGTTGATCTTGCGCAAGTTGCGCACCTCGTCCTCCAGCTCCGTCACGCGGACGCGCAGCTGGTCCTGGCCACCGAGCACACTCTGTGGGAGAAGTGGGGGTCAGAGGGCAGAGGTGGCCTGGGGTGCGCTCACCCCACCGGGCAAGGCTTACCTCGGCCTCGGAGGTAAGCCTCCGGAGACCCCGCCCTCCGGAGACCCCGCCCTCCGGAGACCCCGCCCTCCGGAGACCCCGCCCTCCGGAGACCCCGCCCTCCGGAGACCCCGCCCACCTTCTCCATGGTGCTGCACAGGACTGCCTGCAGCTGCTCTGTGCGATCCAGGTAGCTGGGTTCCAGGCCCTGCAACACAGGGGGCCGCGTGACCTCGGCGCGTGTCCTGACCCACACACCACACGATCTGCCCATGCCACCCCCCAATAGCATGGGCAGCCACTCTGCCAGGGAGGGACCACAGGGACGCCCACAGACAGAAGGGGAGACTGAGGCCGGGGCATTCACGTCCCTCCAGCCTGAAGACGACAACCCTGACCCTGGCCATGCAGCCAGCACCCAGCACCTCAGATCCACTCACGACTGCACCCAAGGAGTCTCTGGGGTTGTGGATGGGGGTGCAGATGGCCACACCATAGATGGGGGGCCTCAGCCAGGGCTGGAAAGACCAGTGAACCTGGGAAGGCCCCGGGACACGGCCGGGTGGACAGTGAGCACCTCCAGCCGTGGGGAGGTCTTTGTAGGCCCAGCGAGGTCCCTGCCTTGTGCATAGGGACCAGCTGCATGAAGGGACATTGTTGTGGGGGGTCGGAGGTCAGGAACTCCTCCGCCCACTCTGCCGTGGGCACCTCAGCGCCTGTTCGTGGGACAGGACGACACCCCAGTGTCAGCTGGATTGGAACAGAGGCCACAGAGGGCTAGCGACTGTCACGGCAGGGAGGGAGCCAGGTGGGGCAGCCAGAGAAAGGTGGCGGCATTACTGATGGCCTTGCCTGGCTGCCTCCGGAATCCCACTGAGGCCAGCTGGGGAGGGGTTCTGGGGAGGGTACCCAAGCGTGGCGCTGACTCCATGCTTCTGGAGGCCAGTTTTCACTCCGAAGGTTCTGGCACTTCCTGAACACAGAGGCGCGCCCCCCTTGCACACACCCTGTTAGTAGTCAGTCCAGCCTGTATTCCTGGCCTCCTCGTGGTCCGGGGAGCCTGTAGATGCCCAGACAGTGGAGGTCCCATGCGTGCCCACCCAGGTGCCCACCGGTATGCAGGAAGACAGAGTGTCACTCTGTTGAACAGCACAGAGAGGAGGAAGGAGATCACGGCGCCTCCCGGTGCAGGGCCTGCTGGGCTGGCGGGCACCCTTCAGATAAGAAATCAATCTGTACTCAGGTGAGAGGAGAGTGCGTGGGGAGAAGTGCCAAGCGCCAGGGCCCGCGAGGGATACAGACAGGGACGTGAGACAGCAAGGGCGCAGGTGGCTCCTGAAGGTAGGGGCTTGTGGTGGGAAGAGACGCTGGGAAGCCTCCCCAGGCCCAAGGACCCCTCAGCCCGACCCAGCCCACCACAATGGCTTCTGTGAGGGTTCTGGGGCTGGGGGGTGGGAGTATTCTGGAAGCCACTCTATCCCCAGAAGGCACGGGAACCCACTGGGATACCCGCACAGGACATGGGACGGTGCTGAGCTGCAGGGAGGGAGGGCGTGACTTCGGCCAGGCCAAGAGGCTGACCCGAGTCCCCGTGGGAGAAACCCGCAGCCACCCGGGCCCTACCCCCTCGCTGCCCCCACGGATGCTCCTGCACCTTCAGCAACCCAGACGTGAGCCTTCTGGCCCTCACAGCCCAAAATATGGCCATCAGTCCTTTGCAGAAGGACCTGGCTGACCGTCAGATCTCCAGTGGCGGGAAGGCCGGGGGGCCTTCGGAGACCAAAGGGCAGTGGGGGTTCCCTGCTGGGGGCTGTACCTGCTGGTGGAGACCCAGGCGCAGGGTGAGGCCCCCATGGCGCGGCTCGTCCCCGTGCTCGGCGCCCAGCAGGTGCTTGTTGAAGTGAGGCAGCGGCAGGCTGGGCCTGAAGTCTGAGCTCAGCATGCTGACGGGTGCCAGCAGGATGATGGCGTTGGTGACGGGGCCTGGGGGGCGCGGTGGTCAGGCCCCGCCCCCGGCCAGGCCCACAGTATCCCAGCGAGGCCCCGCGCCAACCCGGCTAGTCCCCCAGTCAGTCTCCGCCCCATCCCGGCCAGGCCCCGCCCCATCCCGGCCAGGCCCCGCCCCATAGCAAGCCAGGCCCGACCCCCAGCCAGGCCCCACCCCAGGTCCTGCAGGCCTTTTCCCCGGGATCCCCAGGCCTCGCCTCCACACCCCCTGCAATGGACGCGGGCTGAGCACAGAGGCGCGCCCACCTTTGAGGGCCACAGTCCTGATGCACTGCTTGCTCTGCACGTCCCAGAGCCGCACGGTCTCGTCATGGGAGCCCGAGAGCAGCACGCTGCCGTCCGTGGACACCGACAGGCAGGTCACCTGGTTCCTGGACAGACAGGCGGGGGTCAGCGCCAGACAGGACATGCCAGAGAGCCCCCGCCCCGTGCCCACATCCCACCTGTGCCCCCAGCTCCCCACCTGTGCCCTTTGAAGACCTTCCCGGGGTCCTGCTCTGGCTGGAAGCTTCTCTCCCTTTGTCCCGGCTGCAAAGACGGAGACGGGTGTGAGCAGCAGGCCCGACGCCCTCAGCCCCAGGGCACGGCGCAGCCCAGGGCACGGTGCAGCCCAACGCCCGCCCGAGGCACTCACCCAGGTGAAGAGGTCCACCTGGAAGATGGAGCCGTCGCTGCCCCCGCAGAACAGGTGGTGCTCAGCCAGGTCCATGGTCACCGCCATGATAGCCACGTCAAAGAGGACGGAGAGCAGCAGCTCCCCCGAGGAGACCTCCCACAGCTGCGGGCGGGCAAAGGGCGTGGGGCTCGGCCCAACTCCGGGGAACCCGAGGACCCCGTGGGAACAGGGATCCAGAGAGGGGCACCAGGGAGGTCAGGCGTCCGCTGTCCTCTGGTCCTGGGGCGTGGGACTCTGGGTGAAAGCCGTCACCTTGTGGGTCTGGGGGGCTAGGGGACATGGCTGTGCTGAAACAGAGCTTGGTCTCCGGCTGATGAGCCCTGGGTCTCCCTCCCAGGACCACCAGCCATGACTCAAGGGTTAGCAGTGCCCTCCAATTCCCTGGCTTGGCCAGGGAGCCAGGCCAGAAACGGTGAATGAGTGGGAATTTCCAGGCTGGCAGACCTGCAGGTCCACCCTCCCTGGACGTCCTTGGGCTCAGAGCACCGGGGGATTAGAAGCTGTCTGGAGCTCTGACAGCAGGAGGGGGAGGAGGCGATTCCTGCATTCCTGGCTGAGGACCTGCGGCCGCTGGGCTCTGCTCATGGACCGTGGGGGGATGGAGGGGCGGGGGTGGCTCTACCTTCACCGTCTGGTCCAGCGAGGAGGTGGCCACCCGGGCCAGGGGGCCCCCAAAGCCGCAGTGCAGGTCCGTGATGGGGAGCGTGTGGTGAGACCAGACGTGCCGGGGTGCCGGGATCCTGGAGGGGTCGGCCTGCAGCACGCTGGGTGGCGCGGGGTGGGCGGTCAGCAGGCAGGGAGGGGAGGGGCCCCAGCAGCCCAAGACTCCAGCACCCACCTCACACGCACACCTGCCTCCGCTCAGCAGCCTGGCCTGCCTCACCTGAGTAAACTCAAGCCTGGGTCCCCACAGCCCCCGGGACAAACCACACCCCAACATGGGCAGCCAGGACAGCTGGGATGATCACACCGTCCTCTGCACTCCAGCCCCCAAGAGAAGTCCCTTCCCGCCAGGGGCCTTGGTGCCTCCTTTCCCTGCCCGAGCCTGGGTGCAGGCCGGGTTCGCAAGGCGCGGACCTGCAGAGGCTCCAAGCCAGCACCAGGCAGTCCTTGCCCCCCGAGACGAAGTGGCTGCTGTCCCCGGTGAACTGCAGGCAGGAGACATCCTGGTAGTGTCGACTCAGGATGACCAGAAGGTTCCCGGTGGAGACCTGTGAGGAGGACATCCAGGTCGGGGAGGGAATGGGGCTGCGGCTCTGGGAACCACACGGCGGCCCCCTGCCTTCGACTGTGGGTGGGCCTGCCCAGGCAGGGGCCGGCAGGCACAGCAGGGTGGCACCCCTGCACAGACTGTGTGGGCACCTGCTCCCGCCTCGTCCCCACCTGTGTGACTGGCCAAGAAGGGGGCACGTCTCCTGCCCTGCCCTGCCGCCTCAGGTGCCGGTGCCATGAGCCTGACCCTAGGGAGGGCACGGGCTTCCTGCGTGGGTCCTGAAGGAACGGCCGCACTCAGAACCTGCAGGCAGCTCCCCCAGTTCAGCGGGACTTTACTTCTGGGCAGGCTGCGGTGGCCTGATGGGGATGGGGGCAGCTGAAGCCCCAGCAGGTAGCCAGGCAGCTCCATCTGAGGACGAGGACAGGGAGCCCCTTCCAGGACGCCTGGTGAGGGCTGAGATGCTCTGATTGCTCTGGTGGGGGTTGTGGGTTGAATTGTGTGTTTCCCCCCAGAAGCGTGTTAAAGTCCTGACCGGGACCTGTGAATGGCCTTATTTGGATGCAGTGTCCCTGCACATACAGTAAGTTAAGATGAGGCGATTCTGGAGTGTGGGGGGCTCTATCCAGGGTGTCCCGGTTCTTGAAAGCAGAGGGAAATGCACACACACAGGGGCTCCACGTGTCGGTGGTGAGGCAGGCAGGGGAGATTCACCCACAGGCCAAGGGCGCCAGCCACCGCTGGCAGCTGTGAGGGGCAGGAAGGCTCCTCGCGGGGCCTCCGGGGCAGTACGGCCCTGCAGACACCTTCACCTAGGACCTCTGGCCTCAGGACAGGGACGAGTTTCTGTTGCCGGAAGCCCCTGTGTGTGGTGCTTTGTGGCCCCTCTCTGGGCCTCGGTTTCTCTGCCTACAACAACCAGGGTGGCCGTGGAGGGTTAAATGGCACCGGATGAAACAGGGTCCAGGTCAGTGCGAAACCACAGAGGGCAGCCCTGGTGACCACCACTGCCTGGGCAGGGCGGACCAGCCCCGGCCCCACAGCCCTGGCTCTCGGGTTTCCAGCCCCTCCTGACTCACCACTCACACCCGTCACCCACAGAACAGGAGGTTTCAACTGTGGCAGGGGGTACAGTTGAGGCAGTCCCGGCCTGGGTTCCTGCTCAGCATGTGGGGCACCCCCCTGTGGTCACAGCTCACACAGGTCAGAAACTCTCCCATGTCTGTCATCCCAGCATTTTGGGAGGCCAAGGTGGGCGTATCACCTTAGGCCAGGAGTTCAAAACCCGCCTCGCCAACATGGCAAAACTATCTCTACTAAAAACACAAAAACTGCCGGGCGCCGTGGCTCAAGCCTGTAATCCCAGCACTTTGGGAGGCCGAGGCTGGTGGATCATGAGGTCGAGAGATCGAGACCATCCTGGTCAACATGGTGAAACCCCGTCTCTACTAAAAATACAAAAAATTAGCTGGGCATGGTGG